AGCCCCCCCGGCGGCCTCAAAGCGCCGCCGCTGTCGCCGGATTTCGTGCGTCTTTGTGGGCTGTAACCTCGGCCGCGCTCCGTGAACCCGAACACATCCCGACAGATTTCACTTTGATCTGAAGCTTTTTCTCACATTTTGGCGGCAGAGCGCGAAATGTCTCTAATGATCCTGTAATTATCCGCTAATTACCCGCCAACCCGATTCCGGAGCGGAGCACGGAGACATGGAGCCGAGAGCAGTTATATTAAAATGCTTCAAGGAAAAGGAACAAAGATGCACAAAAGCCTAAATTACAAAAGTAAGATAACAATTCCAAAGTGGATAAAAAATAAACTGAACATATTTTTATTTGGTAGATAATCCGTTATTGTCATGGTAACACGTACAACGACATTTTAGCGGCAGCTTCAGTTGGTGCAGCGATAAAAAACATAACATATGAAATGATAAGCTTCTTTAACATCTTTGTAACTTTGTTTAATGTAGCCTAAATTATATATAAAAATAATATATGCTTATATGATATATATATATATATTTAATCTTTTATTTAAAAAGTTTTCTTGTAATTTTGCTGTTTGCACATTGACGTGTAAATACAAACGTCCACTTCAGTTAATTAATTTTGTTTCCTTTTGTTTAAGCCCCACCCCCCAAAAGACTGGCTAATTAAAGAGCGTGCAATGCGCGCACTATGAGCCCGGGTCTGGTTTCTGTTTAATACTTGCTTCTTAATCAGCCTACCAACATGAGTACATTTCATTCTTTGTGTTTCTGCTCATTCGGATTTGGCCTGAAACGTTGACTTCATTCTCCTGTTTCTCAGTTAAACTGTGGATTTTTTTTCTCCACTGATAAAATGAACCGTTGCTGAATTGATCGTCTTCATATTAGTTGTATTTCACTTACATTTAACATTAAATAAGGTGCTGTGCTCGGTGCATTATGTGTGAAATGACATTTGTCTGCAGATCAGCCGCTTATTGCCGTTTTTCCGGCACCTTCTTGATTTAACCAAACACAGAGAGGCTTTTATTGTGGAGGGTCACAGCTGTCTGACTCCAGTGCAGTTTGGAGATTTAAAAAACAGATTCAGCTCCATTAAATAGTTGGATGTTAAATAAAATTAATCAGATTCAAACAAAAACTTAACATGCCTGTCCATAACGCGCGCACCTTCCGTTCACTGCTGTGGTGAAAACCTCCTATGTCCAGGCTGAAGCTATTACAGACGCACGAACTCTGTTCTCACAGGTACAAACTGGGTTTCTTTCCCTCTCTCACACACACGCGCGCGCGCGAGAGAGAGAGTCCGAGTCCACGTCCCTCCGTGAACCCAGTCCTATTAACTCTCATGCAAACACGATGAAGTGGCGAAAACAAGACATCTCTCTCAGCTTCTTTCAGCTGTGAGACTTTGATGAACAGGATATAAATGTTGTGTTGGGCCTAGAAACTGGTGCGAACAATAAGATAACTTCCAGAAACCTCTTCTACAAACCTTGTTCGCGCACAATGGACAATCATGTGTGAACACGATGCGCAGTCAAGACATGAGAAGAAAAAGGAAATCACAAAAACAAGATGAAAACTTGTGAACAAACCGTAAATCTTGTGACACGAAGACAGGTCGTGTGAAAGTGGAACTGCACAACCCTGATAACTGGTGTGAACAATGTGCGTGTTAACTGACACAAGCGAGATACCATTTAAAAACAAGATGCGGGTGTTGCACTGACGAGACGTGAACGTGTCTGTGTCGTGAACACAAACGATGTTTCCCGTGCACAAGCTCCTGCGCTTGGTACAATATTAGCATTATTGTAGGGACTCGACCCCGAGGTCAGGGGAAAGGTTTAAAGAGTAAAACGGGTCAGATGAGTAATTTTACAGGCATCAGCAGGTTTGTCACTTTCAATTGATTCAAACATAAAAACACAGAGACACAAAGTGAGAGAAATGTCACGTTGGCTGTTTCCTGCTTGGACAGTGAAATAATCCAACGGGTCGTCACACCGTTTCTTTTCAGCCCACAAAGGAGCATTTCATCCTTCAGGGAGAATAAAAGATTCACAATCACTAGATTCTCGGTTTTCCCTGAACAGTGACAGTAAGGATGTTTTCTGAATATGTTGGATTCATAAAATCCAATCAGACAAACCTGTAATGAGGACGGGAGGGAGCAGGAATATGTAGAACTACTACTGACAACAACAACTATAACAACTATAATAATAATAATAATAATAATGATAATAATAATAATAATAATGATGCCTTTTCCTATCAATGCTGCCTCGTGTGAGAGGAAACAGAGACAGTGGCACATTTTTCTGGAACAATCCACCAACATTTCATCACTGGACAGTGAAGCTTCTGTTTATCATTTATGTGGTTTTTAATTTTGTTTGTTGTCATAAACCTCCGTGTGCATGGTTCTTAGAGCAGAAGCCATTTGTGAATATTTATAAAATAAAAGCTAAGTATTTTCTCTTATTTTCAATTGTGTATGAAAATAGACGTGTACAATATCTCAAATAAAATCAAGAGGAAAGAACAGCTCCCAGAAGTAAAAAAACAAAAACAAAAAAACCCACAGCTGGAAAATGTTACGTGCATTTACTCCAGTACAAATGAATCGGTCTCTACTTTATATGCATGCTGTTACTTCTATTTTATTACAAAGAAACAGGCAAATATTGCATATTTTACTGAACTACAAACATTTTAAATAAACTCCACCTCAGTAAATTACTGCATCAGCAATTTGACAGTATTTTTGCAGAGTGGTATTAATAGTTTTACTGCAGTAAAGGACCCTGGTACTTTCACACACAGATGAATAAGAGCTCCACGCCCTGCCTAGCTTTGTGTCTGGCCACACATTGGATAAAAACAATAAACCGTTCACGTAGACATTTAAACGTGGACATTTCCAGTAAGTGAACGTTTCCTCTGCCACCCAGTTCGCTGCTGTAATATGAGCCATATGCTCCCGGCGGGGCAGAGCGAGGCCGCCCGGGGCCCTCCGGCGGTGGCTGTGATGGTGGTGGCAGCCCCGGGGCCCCAGGCATCGTTTCGCTAAACCCCCAGCCCCTTTTCTCTCCACTCACACCTTATGGAGGAAAATGTCGGCCACAATACGGAGGCCCTCGGCCCCTTTCTTCTCCTCGCCTTTCATTCCCCCACTAGAAAGCCACG